CGGCTTGATTTCTGGCCAGAAAAGTAAATGCAATTAAATTTTGGTTTCGAGCGCGGTTGTGTGAAGCTCTATTATTTTTTAACTAATAAAGCCAGAAGCCCATTTCAGTCACTATTAGATAGAGGATGAAAGAACCTTTTTGGCAATGTGCTAAGTTTTTTCCAAAGAGGAAAGTTTGATGGAGAAAAGTTGTCCTAAAACAAGGGCTAGAAAAACGCGCATTACTTTTGCACCAACCTAATACTTTCTGCCATAAATATTTTAGGCTGTTTCATAACTTCTCCGGTGAGTTACAAAATTTCAAGTTTGAAAATCCCAGTTTTTGCTTTTTAGGATCGCATCTATTAGGTCATTTCAAAAGTCCGCCAGTTTTTCAAAAAATCATAACTTTCTTCCTTCTTGATGGATTTTCTCTTATCAATTTTTGTTCGAAAGAGGAAAACTTTTTCTTCACAACAGTGTCTTTGCTATGAAATGACATGAGAAAATTCGAGAGTTAAAAGCAATTGAATAAATTTACCCAAGAATGGCATTTTTCTGGACCACGAAAAATTCCGGAAGTGCTATATTTGACAGAGAAAATTATGCTCTTTACTACAGTTCCTTTCCCATGAATTAAAACGAAAAAGATCGGAAGTTATGAGCAAATAAAGAGAATTACTTCAGCTTCGCAAATTTGAGCATGCCCAAAAAACCCAAAAACGTCACAAAAAAGGCAGGAAAGCTAAAAACACGGGTTTTGTGAAATTCTCTTTCTAGCTAAGGGATTTTTGTGCTAAGGGAGAGCAATTTTGATTTTTAGGGAAACGTATAGCAAATTCCTAAAAAATCATTACTTTTCATAGGAACAGTCGTTCAACAAGGAGTCTGCTTAGCTAGAAAGACGAGAACATAAAACATATGTCTGTGCTTGTTTCGGCATTTTTTGTAACGTTTCAAGATTTTTGGTGAGCTCTTTTGAAATTACCAAAATTTAAGTGGTCTTCTTTTTGCATTTTTAACTCTGCGACTCGTGCTTGGTAGAACAAATTTGAGCCATAATTAGAAACTAGGATTTCTTCATTCTAAGAAAAATTATCCCAGGCAAATCTAGGCAGATAGCAGAGAGTTACGATTTTTTAGAGAACAGCGAACGAACTTTTGAAATGACCTAATAAATTCGCGGGAGTCGCATTTAGATTTTTTCGAGCTCACTGCTCCTCAATGGCTGAAACTTTTTCCATGGATAGTATGGGCAGAATACTACACAGCCTATTCATTACAGCCTCTCAGTTTTTCCCTAACCTTAGTTACGAATTTTCATAGCTTCGTTCTGGAAGGCGCTAAAACGGCCTTTTTCGCAAGAGAATCTGTGTAATAGATAGATAGTAAGCTTTTTAGTTGAAAACAATTTTTGCGCTTCAAAAATATCGTTTTTTCTCCCTGCAGAAAAATATTGTCTAGTACGGGGATAGAACACGGGACTTTCATTAAAGTCTAAAACGTTCTAATTTCCAGAACCATAGTGTGTATCCTTCGTTACTATTGGACCATGAAAGCACGCCGAACATTCATAAACAGCAGAAAAGTTAATTAACCTTCACTAGAAAAGAGCTATTATGAAATATTCAGTTATAGTGACTGAAGTGAACCGTTCCGTAGTGTTGAATTTTCTTGGTTGTTATTTTATTTCATTTTTTATAGGTAGAGTACAGCCTAAATACCATTAAAAATCAAAATTGATGTTCTGCTTTGTCAGATGATGTCCTTTCCATTCATTTCCCACAATAAACATAGCCAATTTGTAAAATTTTACCACTTACCCAATCTACATAGAATTATTTGTTTCTTTAAAGGCGAAGCATTACTTGCATTATCTCCCAATTTGTAAGTAGTTATCTTTCTCTGACCTATAATTTTGATTGAGGTTTATTGGCAGGCATCTTTTGAGATTGACATTCGTTTATGCAGGTTACCGCAAAAGGAAGTGGAGGAGGGGGAGGGGATAGGTGGGGGGAGGGTCGAACGGATGGGTACCCTTGGGGGGGGGGGGGAGGGGGTCGTAAATGAGGGTCCCGGATCGCATCAGCACGTTTGACCCTGCCCCTGACGTGAGGCCAGCTGAGGGTTAACGCCAGCTCTGGCGCTGGCTGCGGCACCACGCAGCTCCAAGTAATGCCTGCTACAAAGCTTTGTTAGCCATATGCATGATCCCTGTCACTTCAAGTACATATTTATCAACAGAGAATAAAACTATACATTTACGGAGAATATGCTGAAGAATATATTTAATCTACAATTACTGAGAACATGCTCAAAATAACATGCACTTAGTGATTACTTAAAAGCTTATACAGTGTGGATCTATAAAGTGTTCGATGTCGATACCATACTGCGACTGGACTTCTTCCATCAAAATTGCTTCTTGCTTATTTTTTATCAGATTGACCACAATTCTTTCTTTCTTAAGATCCGTAGGTGCCACACGGCCCATATACCCCTTCACTTTTCTTGGCATTTCATAGTTGACAATGACGGAGATCTAGAAAGGTAACAATCAGGAACAATTCAAGAAATAATGAAGGAGTAATACAAAATTTCCAAATTATTCAACATAAAGTGTTGTCGATTCACAACTTCAACTGGAACCCAGTAATATAGTAGCTGGCTGTCACTGTTGAAGAGCTAATCCCTTTCAAACAGCAAGACATATGAAGCGAATGGATTTTCTGACGTTAGATGAAGGGCGCTCTGAACCGCGTGCGATAGAACTGCGCATACTTCTGGCTGTGCGGCAAATCTTAAAGGCAGTGTCCAAGCAGAAAGTCGAAATTGAGATTTTGGGCTTACCTGGGCCTATTCGCTATGCTGAATCCGAAAATCAACACTGGAGAGGCGAAAAAAGGCTCTAACGGAGGAGGGAAATTGCAGGTGGGCGGGGCTGTTCACATAGTGGCATCACTCTCCCAGCGTCAAGAGCGATCTTATCAATTCCGCTAGCCGTCTTAACATCACCACCAGCCAACTGCGAAACGCATGACATAAAATCGGAACCGAGAAGATCGCTCCCAAAGCCTGGGAGAGTGACGTCATGATGTGAACGGCCCCGCCCACCTGCAATTTCCCTCCTGCGTTAGGGCCTTGTTGGCGTTTTCGCGCTCTTTTTGAGATTTCTCGGAATCAGCATGGCGAATAGGCTCAGGTAAGCACAAAATCTCAAAATAGACTTCTTGCTTGGACACTGCCTTTAAGTTGTTCCGAAAATTCTGTCGGTTTCTTTGATCGCATTAAAACTAAAGGACAATGATCGGTGAACAACTTCGGCACCGAAAATTTTAAAAAAGGTGATTTTTCAGCGCAAATCATGGCTGATTGTTTTGCAAGGATGATTATCGATAACAATCACACTTCAAGTTGCACAAACTGGTAAGCTTTCCTATTTTCGTTGCAGTTGCGTGTTGCATGACTTCACTAAAAAGCGACACCTCCAAAAAATAATTTTTTAAAAATTTCCAACAGCGGATAGGAAGAATCTGAAAGCACTGCGCATAGTCCAGATTTACTCTATCCAATGCTTGCCTCCTTTTCTTCGAGAGTCAAAAATAAAATCCTCGAAAATTAGGCAGACTTTGAGCATAAATAATGCGGGGCGAAGAATTTAGGCACTTGAATAGAAGCTTTCAGGAGATTACGATTAGAGATCACCATCAGAAAGAGAAGGAAAAGCTGCATCGAATGCATGTGAAAACGCTTTATTCCCGCAGGATTTATGAATCCTTTATTGTGCGGGATTTTATGGCGGCTTGGAAAAAACCGACAAAACTTTCGGGACAACCTAAATTCATGCAAAAGCAAGCCCCATGAAAATTGAGAAGATATGAAAAAGTTGACACCTCTTTGTCTTTGAACAGATTAGCCAAGGTCTCCGTGATCAGAACCACTCCGGATGGCGACGACTCAAATATCTGCATTTCCTCTCTGAATTTCTTCTTCTTCTTACCAACACGACAAATTACGTGGTAGCCTCGAGCAGCTAAGTGCTCCTGGATCCATGTAGCCTATGAAAATAGAAGAACATAATGACATGACAGCGAAGGGACGCGATAAGCTCCACCTTTTTTTGCCATTTACATATGATCACTGTCTTTTCATACTCTAGCTTCGGATACAAATCGCAAAGCACTTCAAACTGCGTTTTCTAAAACAACAGAACTTCTACTCCCCGAGATTCAAAAAAATTTGCCACCGACCTTCGCAGCCAAATCATCTCTGCAAAAGTCACAAGATTGCTCATTCTGTTGATCATCTAAATGTTCCCACATAATCTGATACAAATTTTCTTCCGATTCACCTTGTACTTCGATACATATGTGTCGTCTTTGGTTTATTACAGGTTCACGCAGTTCACTGGCAAGCTTTTCGCATGAGGATACAGCAGTGTCATTAGTTACACTCGCACGTATTACTTCCTTTCCTGATAGCAGGACGCACTAAAACAAACAAACGCTCAAATATTGAGCATAAGGGAAAGGGTATGTATAAAGCGAATTTGCTAAAGTAGGAAATTATGCAGTAATGACTAGTCCCGGTCGATAGCGACTGGCCATATGGGGTAATCGCATACGAACGCTGTGCGGGTGCCAGTAATCACCGGATGGTATGGTTCTTACGGGAAACGGTCAGGAGATACGATCAGGGCCCGGCACGCGTTGGTTTGGAGGATTTTTGAAAACGAAGTCCCCCATGACTCCGAAGATTTTTACGAAGTCCCCTTTGACCCCAAAATTGGGGTGCCTGGCATTCTGAGGCTTTGGCCCTTGCCACACTTCGCTCAAAAGCGCCAAAAAGCGCTTAAAAGCGCCCTAAAGCGCCCAAATTTCTTTGTTGTCTCTTCACTTTCTCGTGTGAGGAGAGATGAGAGAGAGTGAGAAGGGGGGGGGGTTAGAGAAGTTTGGGCGCTTTTGGGCGCTTTTGAGCTCTTCTGAGCGAAGTCTGGCTAGGGCCTTCAACATTCGACAAACTTTTCCAGCATAAGTGTTTATTAAGGCAACATACACGTGACACAAAAGGCATTTTGACGACTGAAATGAGCAAAGGAATGTAAAGGAATGTGCTGAGGTCCGTGTTAATGAGATCCATAGCAAAAAATTCTCAGCTTTGGGCAGCTAGTGCTGCAGACGTGTTAAAGAGATCAGTATGTGAACAAAAAAAATCTCAAAATTCAAGTTTTTCGAACGATACAGCAATTTCGATTCAAAAAGTGTGGCGAAAAAAATGTGCTTTTTGAAAGCTTCAAAATGGTGAAAATGAAAAAACAATTAGCAAAAATAAAAGTGTGACAAAGGTAGAGATGAAGTGAAGATACGTCGCCTTCGTTCAGGTGCTTTAATTCAAGAACGGGTTAGCTGGACGTGCCATCAGCGCAGGGATATCCTGGCGGTAGAATGCGGGAATGTTGGGAATCTGCGCCGGATTCTGGCGGATGTTGTTGTCGATTTCCTGATTCTGCTTCATCTGAATGAGATTTTTCTAGCATAAAAATTGAGCATTAAAAAATTCAAAACTCACCAGTCTGTACTGGAAAAAAAAGATAGAAGCAGGAGAACCAAATTTGTCAAGTGCGCAAAACCATCGATGACCCCGAAAGTGGGACAATCACATTTCATGGATGGCTGGAGTACCTAAAAATAGAATGATATAAAATAACTAGATTTGAAACTAGAAACTAGAAACTAGAAAATAGACTTACGATGGGTTGTTGTTGCTGGTACTGTTTTTCGAGATATTGGGCATCAGCGACTTCGACGTTAACGGCCAAAAAGAGGAAAATGAGACTTTTGAAATAGCGCCACTTATACCTAAAAAATATTAGGCTAACCTTCATTATAGTGTTCTCGTCATACAAAGCACAGGAGAAAGATACATTTGCCGATTTGTGATTTCGATCCCTACCGTAAGCCTAGAGTAACCATGGAGGGAAGAATTTTCGTACTTCTGACGTTCATTGTAAAATAGTGCAGGCAACCCTTCCAAACGAGCAACTGCAAATAACTCGTCAAAAACAAGAGGATAATTTCAGCTTCTCCAAAGTTTCCATCGTAGTTATCAATAAAAAACATAATTCCATTGAAAGACTGCTATGAAAAGAGAACTGCCCCCTCAAATGCAATATGAATCTTTCAGCATTATTATTGAACGACACGTGACAAGCATTATGTTGCCAAAAATTGCGCGACGAGTGTTGGCGAAGCTCGCAGATGCACTTTCGTCCTGTTAGGCCCCGGGCAGACTTCACGCGATTTGATCGTCGCGATTCGCTACAAGACAAGTATTGCGAGTTCATTGCATGTCATCTTTTAGTATTTCGGCTGTGATAGTAAGTCACAACTAGTCGTGTTGGAAAACTATCACAACCGAAATGCAAGAAGATCGGCATGCAATGATAGTGTCAAAGTTTTCATGTCGCGTTCAATCGCGACGACCAAATCGCGTGAATTCTGCCCAAAGCCTAATGTGGAATAGCGAGGTAAGCTAACAAATCAAACAATGAAAAATCAAAATAAATCAAACTCACCTTGGCTGTCTCTTGTCGTACCATCCGTCTTTCTTGTTGTTGAGTTTGTTCGGCTCCATTGCGAATACTTTCTGAAACGAAAGAATATTAAAAACAAAGAAGAAGACAGAAAAAGACACAAAGAGACGGAAAAAGAAGAAAACGAAGAGGAGCACATGACGAGATAAGTAAAAATGAAATGATGCAATTGGCGCCACTTCAAAGGGCGCCGGTACACACATGTGATTGGAGCATAATATCTATCAAAGCCTCTATTTTCATATTATATTTGGCTCGTAAAAAGAGCAGAGGCCATGGTTTGATTTGCTCTCTTCACCATATAATAGATTTTTGAGCGCTTTAATCGTCCAAACCAAAAAGGTCCAAAACTTATGTGAACTCTCCGAAATTTATGCTCCGAACCAACCCAGTTGGTTCGGTGGTTGGTTTTGAAACCAACAAATCCGGAACGGGTATTCAGACACATAAGTTTTTGGAACTTTTTGCATAACATAGTTTGGAGTAATATTGTATACACATAGCCCAAATTCGGAGGCATGTGATTGTTTGTGCGCTGTAAACAAGCCATTTGTTTGTTTGAGTCTTGCATTTGAAATTCGCGCGCTTGCGAAAGAACACGTTCAACCCGTAAAACCTGACATGTTCGTCGTGTTTTTTTTTGGCGCTTCCTCCAGAACCTCATAAAAACGAAGTCCCCTTTGCTTTCACCCTCAAAAACGAAGTCCAGTTTGACCTCGAACCAACGCGTGCCGGGCCCTGGATACGATCGTCGCGAATTTTTCGCGAGAAGGCGCAGCGCACTTCAGCCAATGGAATAGCAACACTTCTGGCGCAGTATTACTTTGGCATCGAGTACATGTGTCTGCCCCCATCCCTGCCCCGCTGTTTTTGCCGCTGGGAACTCTAACAGTGGAGAGATTTGCGAGTCCCAAGATTTGGACGCGGCGGAGCTGTGGCCGCGCGCGGCGTACCTCCTGACGTGCAGCCGTTAAACATAGTGCAAGCGCGATTAAAAATAACCCAAAATAGAAAGTCTTTCAAACAGCATCTTAGGGCGAATTAGAAGATGACTACGAAGAAAGAACTGCATGGTACTAACAATAAGAAGCATCATACCTGAACACTTTCAGGCATAGACTGAATTATACCGTGCAGTAGAGTTTTATAACCAGTGCAAAAGAGGTCGTCCGCCTTTACCATTACCAAAACTCGTATGCTGTCCGTATCTGCAAGCTAGCAAAAACTATCAAGTGCATTCTAAAACACTGGAGAATCTCTGATCAAATGTCTGGTAACCGACTAGTAATGCATGTTCCAAAGCATTGCAGGCTTATTGTTTTTGTGAAAGAAATCTAACTATAGCGACCGATATGCAAAACATGAAATTGATCAAGCTGTGCACAAAACCGTTTTCAGGTAAGAAAGCACATCAAACAACATTTTGCTACAGATGCATTGATTTATAACAAAACTCACAGATGCATTCGCGTCTCAGTAAATAACGTGCTCGCTTAGGTGGCGCTATAAGGACATGAACGCCATTACTCAAGACAAATCTATCACCTCTCCGACTGGTCTGTCCACAGCAACAGTATATCAAAATTTTTGAGCTTGAGAGAGAATCTCGCAGCTCTTCAGAAATCTGGAACAATGTGTTTAATTTCAAGCATCTATACCTAGTCAAAATCTAGTGCAAGAGAAAGCGAGAAAAACTATCTAAAGCTGGATTTCGAAATTCAGCTATTATGACATTATGAAGGATCGGTGGGATTCCTCCATCTAAGCGAATCGAAACAAGAATGAAGTACTGTCGTATAATCTCCCTTATAAAGTACAGTGCATCACCTCTGCTTCGCAGAGGGCCGCACTGGCTTCACTATCTATACGTGTTATTCCCGCTCACGCCAAAGTTTGCTTGAAATGCTGACAACATCTATCGTTTGCTCGCTTTCGCTAGAGTGGGCGGAGCACTGTCTACGTACAGGGCTTTACAACCTGAGTGTCCCACCCGCCCCGCTAGGACGCCACGCTTAGGTCCGCGCAGCGTTCGTGGCGCTGGCTGCGCGTCGACTGAAGCTTGGCGAAATCCGGGCGATACGCAGCAAACGCCGCGCGCGGTCTGAGCCAGGCGGCCGCGTTGGAGGAGCCGCGCAAGCGAAACTTGCGACTCTCAGGTTGAAAAGCCCTGTACACGCGCAGCGGCTTTGGATGGCGAGAGAGTACAAAAAACAATGCTCTAGGATGGAGGTTTATCGATCGATTACATGTCATGTCATGTCTGCAGTGGTCCGCCCACTCTAGCGAAAGCGAACTAACGATATGTATAAAAACCACGGAATAAATTCGTGCTCTCCATATGATTTCGAACACATATCGTTCCTTCCACAGATCGTGCTACCCTTGGTCTGCGTCTCAGACCTGCCACGTGTGGCTAACATGTTGGCAACGTGGCAACAACATGTTTTCAACATGCCCCAACATGTTGGCAGAACATTTTGGCCACGCCAACATGTTGCTGCCTGTTGCCAACTGTTGCTGCCAACGTTGCCAATGTGTTAGTCACACGTGGCACGTCCGCGACGCCACAAGGGTAGCACGATCTGTGGAGGGGACGATATCTAGTCCCTGGCGCGGCCAGTAAAAATGCGAAAACCCATTCGTTCCGCATGCTCTGCCATGAAAGCAAGGTGACTTTGGACAAAAAAAGTTTTTCGTGGAGAATCAAATACATTTCTAGGTTAGTTACTAGACTTATAATGGATTGATAGTTACCATAAAAACAATTTCGAACACAAAGTCCTAACGCCGTGTAGGTGCGTCGCTTCCTATAGAAAATCCTACTTTTCCAATACCAAAAAAACAATGAGATTCAACTATCTAGTGACGCCTGGCGCGGCCAGTAAAAATACGAAAACCCATTCATTCCGCATGCTCTGCCATGACAGCTCGGTGACTTTGGACAAAAAAAGTTTTTCGTGGAGAATCAAATACATTTCTAGTTTAGTTACTAGACTTGTATGGACTGATAGTTACCAAAAAACAATAATCACGGTGAGTTACAGATCTGAGTAAAAATCTCAATTCTTTACTAAACTTTACTAGTCGATGATCTACACAAATAACCTTTTTGACTCCATTTCCGCAAAAAAAAGTTTTGATCACTTTTTGGGCTGTAACCATGGCTGGCTTGGACTTGTCAAAATCACGACTTTGCAAAGAAGCCGAAATAGGGACGCAGTTTCGCAGACGAACTCGTGGATCCGCTTGACGCGAAGTTTTTATATGCTTTCGCATGTTGAACCAAAATGATAAGGAGTTTTTGATATACTTATTTTTCTTGTTTCCTCCAAACGAGAGCTGTTCTCTATTTTGTTCCATCTTTTTATCGCCACCTAACTGGTTAAGGATTGTTTGCGTGTTTTGAGCGTAAAAACTCCATCCAATACAAAGGCGGCCGCCCATGCGCGCGAGGCGCATGCGGGCGTACTCAGACAGTCGAAGGGATCGGCCATACTATTCCTGCGATTCCTGTGATTCCCGCACAGTTTATACGCCGCTTAAATGAGCGCGTGTTGCGTGTTGTTTTACGCAACACGCGCTCATTCAAGCGGCGTCTAAACTGTGCGGGAATCACAGGAATCGCAGGAATCGTAGGAATAGCAGGAATAGTATGGCCGATCCTGAAGGGATACCTTCGGCGGGCAAATGGCGCAAGTCTGCCACCATTTCACCCATTTTGGTGCTCCGGGGTTCTCCCAAAAGTGGCGTACCTCCGGAGCAGAGATTTGCGCGTCCCGGAGAGGGGTCCCCTTCGCCTGCTTGTGACGTCACCGTGACGTCACGGTGAACGAATGGGACCCCTTTTCGGGACGCGCAAATCTCTGCTACGGAGGTGCGCCACTTTTGGGAGAGCCCCGGAGCACCAAAATGGATGAAATGGCAGGGCTCCGGAACGCTCCAGAGCGCGAAGTGGCAGACTCGTGCTATCTGCCCGCCGAAGGTTTCCCTTCGACTGTCTGAGTACGCCCGCATGCGCCTCGCACGCATGGGCGGCCGCCTTCTATTGGCTGGAGCTTTTACACTTAAAACACGCAAACAATCCTTAGCCCGTTAGGTAACGATAAAAAGATGGAACAAGATAGAGAACAGCTCTTCATTTGGAGGAAACAAGAAAAATAAGTATATCAAGAACTCCTTATCTAAATAGCTACATTTCCTCCGTTTACGCACAAATGTAAAAGAAAACGACCGACCTGTTTGACTTCCTCTACTTTGGGAGCAATCACAAGCACTTGTATAGTTTTTCTCTCCACATCCACGCTCTGTACAGCGGCCATGATCTGACGAATATGAGCAAAAGAATTCGTCTGATTTGATTCGTCTTCCAAAGGTTCTGAAAAAAAAAGTACGGTCAGGTTGTGAACCAACGATTCGATCAGTGCAAGGAATTTTATTGAGATGAAGTTTATTATTCTCAACACAAATCGCGCGAACGAACAGCCGCCATCCCTCACAATATAAAATACATGAGTCATAAAATGACCGAAAGTGATTTGAACATATTTCTTGCCCAATCTCTGTTAGCTCATTTTGTTAGCATCTGGACACTACCATGACTAGGTGCACGCTCTGTTCAGTAAAGCTTGACAACTCAATGTTTAAAAACACACAAGCGCCACCACCACTACTCAGAACCGACACTCTTCCTCAGGGAACCGTCATACTTCGCCGAAAAAAGCCCAAAAAGCCCGAAAAAGCACAAAAGCGCCAAAAAAGCCCAAAAGCGCCAGAAAGAGCCGGAATGCCCCCTTTCGCGCGCACGTTTGGTCTAAGGCATGTGTGGGGTGTATCCCATTACTTGTGACTGTCAATTATGCAGACGCCGCGCGCGACAGGCTGGCAGTAATCAGATCCGCAAAAAACTCGGTTGGCCCACTCACAGGGCATACTATTCCGTCATTTGTGAAGGTTTTTACATTTCCATATCAATTTTTACTGTTTAGAGGAAGTTTGGCCATAAAAATTGTGAAATAAAGATAGTGGAGGGAAATATGGAAATTATACGTTCCTGATCTCGAAATGTGTGCTTTCTGTTCACTAGAAGAACGTGTCCCCGTGAACATTTCGTTTTCAAACATTTCCTTTGGTCCTGCTGCCTCTCCCACGGCTTACTGTAACGCCGCGGTGCGGCAAATTAATTGACACCCCAAGTAATGGGCGTCCCCCGCATGTGTGTTGATTTCGCAACCGAGTCTTTTTGCTTCATTTTCTGTCATCTGCGCATCAAAATATTGTCAGAATTCTACCAAAAGTTCGTTTCTGCGTTCCGGCTATTTCTGGTGATTTTGGGCATTTTTTTGGCTTCTTCTGGCTTTTTTGGGCTTTTTTAAGCGATTTTGGGTTTTTCTCGTCGAAGTATGACGGATCCCTCAGAATGATTGAAGCAGCGAAAGCAGTCATCCAATCCCACTACGCAAGTCGCCAGCAGATTTCTTTGCGAGCGCCAAATCACCAAATGATGGTAAAAGTCGAACGTTCTTCGTAGCCTTTTTTCAAATGTTCTCATAAAGATTACTCTATAAAGTTGACTTTCTGCTGCTTGTTGGACATGTTGCTCGACTCATGTCTCCCTTTTCACATGAACAGGCTATCCCTAGTGAGTGACGAAAGCAACAGAGAAGTGGAGAAACGGCTGCAAACAAGGGACGCCACAATGATGCTGCCAGTTGGCGGTAACGCTGTCATGACAAGCTGGCGGATGCACGTCACAGCCCGCAGACTGTCACAACCTAGCAAAGACTTTTGATCATTCAACCGATGCATAAGTCAAATGGCATGATCCAGAACACTCACTACACTAACTGAAAAATCACTTTACCTTCGCAATTCACGGCTTCTCTACCATTATTCATGGCTTTCCCGCCATCGTCAATACCCGACACGGGTGTGGATACATCTCGCTGTAGTATATTATTGTCGGACACACCATAAAAGTTGCACAAAGACATTTCTTTACAGAACTGCTCCATTAATCGCTGTCTATGAGGCCTACTACTCGTGCAGACGCATTTGCCTTTCTTGAAAAAAGAGAAACCAACAGTTTCAAAGCTTAAACGATAGGGCTAACGTTAATACCTGGATGTCTTCAGGCAGTGAAGTTACTATTGAGGACACAGCTTCCCTCATATCCTTGCTCAATAATGGGCGGAAATCGTACATAACAAATAGATCGAGAGCACTGAGTACTAAAGGACGACATGAATCCAGGATGCTAGTTTTATAGCTTGATCAGAAGTTGAATATGTGGTCATTATTACCAGAGTACTTGCAACAGTGAGAGTCTGCGATGGTGAAAAAATGTCATATCTTGCCTTTTTGGAAGGTGAAAAAGAGCATAGGCATTTGGGAAAGTAGCAAAAAATGCAGATAAAATGCTCACCCAGAAACTCTGAAGAAATCATATGCTTCACGCGGCCTGGAGTACCAATGATAATGTGAGGAGCACTTGATAAAGCCAACTTCTCCTCACTGACAGAAGTTTCTCCAATGCAAGCATGCACCTTGACAGACATAGGTTTGGCAAACTTCTTCATCGATTCGGTAATCTGAAAATGCAGGAGATATCACACCTTACTCTAGTCATCTTGCACTGAGTAAAAGCTGTGCCGATATAGCCGGCACCTCTTGCAATCTTATCAATTCCCTTTGCTTATTGTTAGACACCACTGTGACCTTGAGTCACCAACTTGCGCAAGTGATGCTTGTCTATCATATGCATCTCAACATACTTCCGCCTATTACGAGCAGCATTCTACCCCTAGACGAGGGCATATTCTATGATAAAGCTAGAGGCTTCTTTAAAGACACAAAAGGAGCCACCAAACTCTAACACTGGCTATACCATAAGGCTGGTCAGCCGAACACCATAGACTTTACTCTAACTGTTAAGTCACCATAAATCTTCAGATCCAAGCTCTTCATCTCAAGCTTGCAAGTACATCTCTTCAAGAGGTAAATCTTCAAGTCAAGTACCTGTAATGCGAGCTTGCGGGTGGCCACTAAAACCAGAATTTGAACATGCTCATCGCTTTCACTGATACGTCTGAGAAGCGTCTTTAAGAATCCATCGAAAGTACAGTCGCATGAGAACGCGTCACAATTTTCGCAATCCTTCGCGAAGAACACTGAATTCACAAACTATTCGACAATGTATATGTTGCTTACTACTTTGGAAGTTATATACCTCGGTCTTCTTTGAGCATTGCTGTAAGCCCGGCTGACGTCATGGAGAACGAAATGATATGAGCCAAAAGTCAGTAAGGACAGTGCAAGTATGGAGTTTTGCAATTTCGCAACACGGCTGTTGTGCCAAGCACGCGGGGCGGGGTTTCCGTGAGGCGCGTGCTTGGCACTGTTTTGACCATTCCGGTCTTTCGTCAGCTAAGGAGGATCACCGTTTTGCGCTCTCCTGTCAAGATGTGAAAATATTTGTCATGTTTTGGATGAAAAAGGATCTGCTTATTAACGAATCAGCCAGTAGAAACGGAACACAGTGAGTTGTCGATATTTCAGTACAGTGTGCTAGTCCTGCCTGCATCGTACAAATCCCAGTCGATACTGTATTCTCTTTTAAGGACACTGGGGCTCGTAGATAAATTTGATATTCTCGTATACGGGTTAGTTTGTGATTTGGCGTCGAAGCGTTCTTCCTCATCCTTATGAGCCTTCAAGAACGATTAAGTTGAAGGCTGCAAGATTGTCAGAAGAGAGTGCTGATAGGTTTCTTTGTCGTTGTCGTATTGCACGTTTGAACTAAATCATCGCATACTCATGCCATGTGGATTGGCCGGAGGGACCGTAGATTCGCCCGCAGGAACGATTACTTTTGGATTGGAGCAGGAATCTTCCGTAGAGCACCTTATCCTTCCAACGCTGATTTTGAGGATGCGCTTGCCAAATAACCCAATGTTGCGTCTTGCAACTCTAGGAGCTAAGGCTTGTACTGCTTGACGTCGTGTTGCGGCGTGTCTTCGCGAAAAATCATGAGTCCTGACCCGTACCCGATCAAGACCGCCAAGCCGGGCCTGTAGCTTCAAGACGCACACATGCTTGGGAAGGAATGAGGAACAATGATATAAGCAAATATTTATTGGCAAAGACGCAGATACTTCTCAATGATCGCCGCGATTTCCATTCATTTTCATGTTACACTAGCTGGCTTACCCGGCTCCGCCGTATCCGGACCAAACTTGGCACACATACACTTCGGGCCCCGGCGGGTGTCACAGTCCACTTTTCGTTATCGATCGATGTCGATTTTACCGATTTTTATCGATTTTTTGGCAGAGTTCACCTACAGGGCTAGGAGTTGGCACAGGGGGGAAGTGAGCATGGGGATTCCGAATACAATATTAGTTTTCAGGATCGTCCATTACTTTTATCGATTTTATCGATTTTTTTGCAAAGTTTGACCTGCGGGGCTGGGAGTTTGCACAGAGGGTAATCGAGCATGCAGATTACGAATACAATATTAGTTTTCAAGATCGTCCATTACTTTTATCGATTTTATCGATTTTTTGAAAATTTGAGCTAGGGGCTGGAATTTGGCACAGGGGTGTTCGAGCATGCTGATCACCCCCCTTGGGGATGATCAGCATGCTCGATTACCCCCCTGTGCCAACTCCCAGCCCCCTAGCTCAAACTTTGCAAAAAAATCGATAAAATCGATAAAAGTAATCGATAATCCTGAAAACCAATATTGTATTCGGAATCCCCATGCTCGATTACCCCCCTGTGCGAACTCCCAGCCCCGTAGCTCAAACTTTGCAAAAAAATCGATAAAATCGATAAAAGTAATCGATAATCCTGAAAACCAATATTGTATTCGGAATCCCCATGCTCGATTACCCCCCTGTGCGAACTCCCAGCCCCGTAGCTCAAACTTTGCAAAAAAATCGATAAAATCGATAAAAGTAATCGATAATCCTGAAAACCAATATTGTATTCGGAATCCCCATGCTCGATTACCCCCCTGTGCCAACTCCCAGCCCCGTAGCTCAAACGTTGCAAAAAATCGATAAAAATCGATAAAATCGATATCGATCGATGACGAAAAGTAGCCTATGACACCCGCCGGGGCCCGTAGTGTATGTGTGCCAAGTTTGGTCCGGATCGGTTCAGAAATGGAATTTTCTATTCGGAACATACGTACACACAGACATACAGACAGACAGACATACAGACAGACATACAGACAAACAGACATTCAGCTTTATATATAAGATTCAAAAATTTCGGTTTGGAAAAGTATCACAGCCGAAATGCAAGCTGGTCGGGATGCAATGAACTCGTAACAGTTGTCTTGTCGCGATTCAATCGCGACGACCAAATCGCGTCAACTCTGTCTGGGGCCTAAAAGCGATAGCCTGAAGTTGCATACAGTTTGGCAAGCAAATGTTTGCTTGCTCAAAGCTTTGCTTGCCTATGGAACTGCGTGCATCTCAAGCTTGACCGTCGTATCTTAGGATAATTGGAACACATAACCACAAACGAAAATCACACAAGCGGAATTTGCATACTTCCGCAAAGTGCAGCACCACAGCTAGTAGGGTGTGAAGAACATAGAAGTAAATGTACAACAGTTCAATGCACTTAGTATAAACAAAGCTAGCAAAAGCTTTATAAATAAAGAGCCAATCTAGCACATCGAACCGGAAAAGTGGCAATCAGACTTTGCTGAAACTCGATTTTTAGCGCTCTTTGGATACCGGAAGCAGTTAGCGATAGCGTGGAAGGAGGAGAAACCAGCAGCAAAATACCACTATCGCTATATATTATTGTTAACCATAACCATTGCAAATAACGAAAGTAAAAGGTTAGCTGCTTCACCTTACCGCTAGCAACATAAGCTAATTCCTACCATAACATCGGGCTACGGCGAAAATAAGATACAGTGCGCAAAAGAACTAAGTCTAACTTTCACCTGTTATATTAAAGAGGTTCTACAAACAAGATTTAGCGAGACACCACAGTGTATGCAACCTCGTCACCGTCTTGTTATATGAAAACCGAATGAAGGGCAGGGCATACTTCACGCGATTTCAGTTGCGGCGCGATTTGGCAATATTCCAACTGTCCATAACTCACTGTAAGCACACTTTTAATGTACAGAAAATAGGGCATTCTAATTAATCCAGTTTGCCAGTATTGGATCTGAAGACTTCTGGCGGATTGCCAAATCGCCTCGCGACTGAAATCGCGTGAAGTATGCCCGGCCCTTGAGACGGAACCATCAAGATGCAACTGGGTCAAAATGTTGACCGGGGCTGAGTTTGCTGTAGACTACTTTTGACAGTGACCTCTAGCCAGTTCTTTCCTCCTCTAGTAAACTTGACAATAGAGATTACAATAACTCTGATGCACTACACCTCACTTGAGAAACTCTAGAACTTCAGACCTACAAGATGAACCTAAACCTCTTGGTCACACAAGAACACAGTGTAAAGAGCTAACATAGACTAAACTGGTACTGGAAAAAGGAGTTCCATCAAATTCATAACTGCACGTAGCAGAACGAGAGACGATTGAGCGCTCTAAACACAATTCCTGCTCCAATCCAAAAGTAATCGTTCCTGCGGGCGAATCTACGGTCCCTCGATTGGCCGTTGGGTCAGTTCTTCATTAAGTTAAGATTCATTGTTGTCAAACTTCCATTTCCGCATCTCTCATTGAGCTCAATTTGCCCGCAAGCGCTCAAGTGCCCATAATGCTCTACCATTGCTAGAACGGGGGAAAGGCCCACTTATCTGCTTTCGGAGATTCCTTTATGTTTAGGGGCATCTCTTTTCACTCTCTTATGTAACAAATTCAATCTCTTGTGGATATTACTGCTCTACTGCATTGGAGCGGTGATTTTCATGCATATCTGTGGATTCGTATGCTTCGTGCAGCATTCTATGGCTGCTCCCTTTGATTGTCACTTTGATCATAGCTTCCTTAAGTGGAATTGCTTTGCCGGCGTCTCAAATGTCACTACAGAAGTCGTATCCTTGTTGATAGAAAGAGCTAGCAAAACTCGGCACTTCAGCTGATACAGGGGCTGTGCATAGGTATGCTATTTGGGTTTGATTGAGTGATAGTTTTGCTGGACGTCGAGGTCCCAATATAGGGTAGAGTCATGTGGCTTACAGCGGAAGATCTAAGCCAAAGATTCTGGATATCGGTTTGGAATAGTAAGTCAATGGTTATGGATGTTTGGGAAAAAAAGGAGTGAGATGATGACCTGAAGCTGAGGTGCGCATGTAGAGTTTTGGATTGTAGTGAATGAGAAACAATGGTGTGTTTGATGCCGGCTGCCTATAGCCGAGGTGTTCCTGGATCCCGTTCCAGAGGTTGACTGGTGAGAAACGATCTAGCATGTAGAGTCATGGATTTGGAATGATGGAAAGGTGGGTTTGATGCCGGCTGCCTGTAGCCGAGGGATTCCTGGATCCCGATCCAGAGGTACCATTGAGTGACGGTCTCGCAAGTAGAGTGTTGGATGTTGTCGAATGATGGGAAGTTTGTACCGGCTTCCTATAGCCGAGGTGTTCCTGGGCCCCGATAAGGAGCATGACTGTTGAGACGGTCCGCAAGCTAAGTCTTGGTTTTCAGCGAATGATGGAAAATTTAGTCTGATGTCGCCTTCTTATAGCTGAGGTGTTCGGGATCCCGAACCGATCCAGGGGTCGTTTGACAGTCCACATGTAGAGTCTTGGATCAACGGATGATGGAAATACGAGCTGGAGGTCGCTCCCATATAGCATGTTCTTGTATTCCTATCCAGACGCTGAATGTTGTGTGATGGCCGGTATGAGTATTGGGTTCAAGATTGTGATATAGGAGACGAGGCCTCCCTGAAGCCGAATGGACCTGGGTCCTGGCCAAGTATTGTTTGGTATCGCGCATACAGTCTCACATATAACTATTATCGGGAAAAGCAAGGTCTCGCAGATAAGGTCTTAGGTATCACTTCGTTGACGGGAGTGAGTTCTACAAGGGAGATGCTGTAACGAGTACGATAGGGGCTTCAATAATCCCATGCTTCGTCAAGTGGAGGAAAACCGTGTTACACGTGTAAAGGTTCGAGCTAGTCATGTTAGTGGAAGAAAGAGTATAGTGTTAGCTTCCCGAAGCTGTTGTACATAGGTGTGCGATCCAAGGGTCAAGGCTGGATCCTACTCAGCATCTATAAGCGATAGAACGGAGCTGATGTAGTCTTCCCAAGCATAGGTATTTCAAGATGTAGAAACTGTCTCCACGACTGTTTAGCACGTAACCGTGGCGGTGATGCTGCTTCCTGAGACTTATTATTCCCTGCTCTTGCTGCGGAAGCTGTTAATTGGGCAATAAATGTAAATAAAGAGATATATCCAACGCTGGAGGAAGGCGTACGATATTCGGCTTTTTAAAAGATGTTCCTAGGCCTAGTCGCAGAAATTAGGCTTTCCACGTGAAGTCATAAGGACCAAGCGCAAAATCAAAACAGCTTTCGCCAGCTTTCTGATCCACAGTTTGCATCGAGCAGTCTTCATGTGATGTAAGGCGATCTGTTAGACGTGGTGTTGGCCAGTTAAGCTGGGATCTGGAATCAAAACGAGTCAAGCTTTGCGTCCGCAAAGTTGGCCACCTTCGAGTCTAGTCACGATTTCGGTTCACTAATAGCTCCAAACGCAGGCTAATCAATTTTGGTCTGGCTGTTTACTTACTCAGGTAAGAGTTGACGCAGATTGAGTTGCAACTAGAGGCTCAGCTTGTTTCTATCCTCGACAGGAAAAAATGTGGGCTGGCCTAGATTGTCATGTGCCAGCTTGATACAGCAAGCAGTACCTCGCTACTTCAAACCCATACGAATCAAAGCGGTCGGAGGCTGCAGCCATGTGCTCGCTGTATCACCGCCTTTTAGCAGCTCCTCGAAGAGAAGCGAGGACGAGGCGTAGCCTGTCATGCACTTTAGTAAGTGCCTACCTGACATAGCAAAGGCTGAATCTGTATCGACCTTTATGTGAACAGTGGGTTATCGGGCAGACGAGAGCGTCGTCTATCTGGAGCGAAGAGGTTGCGAATGAGTAGCCGTCAGGTTCACACAAATGGGAGAATTGTTGATCTAGGCGTCTGTTTTCCCCAAAGGGAAGCCAGCGTCACATAAACTTTCTTCATCTATTAAGTTTTACAAGCTACTTACGTGACCGCTAACTAAGCCGCACCATTGATTTGACGGAGACGTTCAACTCTTATGTGTCACAGTAGATGCTAGTTGAAGCTAGTTTCTTGGTTGGAATATGCAACTCCAGATTGGAGGTTCACGCACAGAGAGCTGCCTCGAATCCAAGTATGGTCACCCATTCTCAGCATGAACGTGTCATCTCGTTTCTGTACAAAAAAACCTTTTTTCAGGTCGGTTCGGCCGGGTAGTCAGTGAGATTGCAGGAATTCTAATCGTTTCAGCAGTTTCGCTTGACGAGATCAACCGCGCTGCCATTACCATCCAGTCCTATCTGCCTTCGGGCTCTACAGGTTCCGCTTGTGTTGAGAAAGTGCAAAACAGAGGTTTTGCCGTAGTTTATCGGAGGCAAAAATGGAGTTTTGCAATTTCGCAACACGGCTGTTGTGCCAAGCACGCGGGGCGGGGTTTCCGTGAGGCGCGTGCTTGGCACTGTTTTGACCATTCCGGTCTTTCGTCAGCTAAGGACCCTCCCACCCTCCCGGAGTTGGGACTGCTGACGTCACGGGCAGAAGCCGCATTAGGACTTGGAGATCCTTGCTGGAATGTCAAAAATAGCGTCGATGACGATTGGATAGCAGCGCTGTCGAGAAGAAATGGGCAAGTCGCGCTGAGCCGCTTTCCAGAAGAGAAGTGATACAGCCAGAGGACTCGTGATAATCCCGAGAAACGCGTGCACGCGTTATGGTATTCATTTTACGGACTTGTACCGCTTTCATCCCGAGGGTTGAGGAATATTCACTCTGTCGTTTACTAAGAGTGTAGTCCCTCGAAGGGCCGAATATTTTAGGTTTTAGATAACAGATCCGACTATGGATTGGCATCGCGTGGCAATGCGATATACAGACAAGACACAGGATCCCACGACGACCCGCTTCCAACAAGTTGATGCATCTGCGAGATGGGCAATTGGCGGCTTTGCATATGCACTCATAGATGAAGCTTTTTATGTACTCCGACCATACGTGTAGTCTATCACGCATACTTGTCACCACCGAACGCATTGATATGTTAGCGATTCCCAGTTTTCCGGTAATCCTGGTTACTGAAGGCAAATGATTGTTCGAGATGTTCATAGGTTATCAGAATGTTTTGACTTGTTACTGAAGATCTATGTTTGTTGGTTATGCAGTGGCATATGTATCAGTACCATGGCTTATGTCGGGATGAGTCCCACCATTTACGTAAAGCTGACGAATGAACCTTCACGCCGCCGCTTGTGTTGAGAAAGTGCAAAACAGAGGTTTTGCCGTAGTTTATCGGAGGCAAAAATGATATTGCGCAAGAATGAAATGTGTTGAGACAAAGTCGCTGCTCGGGTCCCGCCGCTCGCCGTAACAGTCGCTTTTCCGTGATTTTCTGGGAAATGGAAGCATCGAGCCGTCAGCTGAAGGATTCTTCACACACCTGAGCTAAACCCATCTGGCCCGAGAATGTAGCCCTAAAGAACGCAAAAATATCGTTAACATCCTCTTTTAAACGGGTGGAGGACTACATGTCACCGAATGTGGGTGGTTCCCTCACGGACTTCTTGCAGAAAAGCACCTCCCTGCGCGCGCAAGGGTGCGCATTTGTTGCAAATGATCACTGCGGACACCGCCTTTCGGCTACATATATGCCGATCCCTATAGGGATCGGCCATACTATTCCTGCTATTCCTACGACTCCTGCGATTCCTGCGATTCCTGTGAGTCCCGCACAGTTTAGACGGCTCTCAGACACTTTTTCCGGCTGGTGACCGGGCGACGAAGGCCTTCCGGCCGAGGGCCGCGCCATGTTTTGGGGCTGAGCCTAAAACCGGCCGGGAAGCGGGCTAGAAACTACCACCGGCTGGCTTCCGGCAGCGTCCGCAAAAGCGCGCGAAGGCGCACAAAATCATGAATACCGTCAGATTCAATAGTGAGCATGCGATTTCATCAACACTACGCGCCTTACAAGACCTTTTGAGTCTTGTTTTTCCGTGATTATTTTTGTGGTACTGTGTCTTTCTATACATAACTGCTCGTGTAATGTCATGTTTCATTGCTCATCTTTGTTTTCAGTTTCAGCAGACTAGGAAAGCTTCCATGTCGTCACTAAGCTGTCATAATGTTTGCACTCAAAAATGTTTACTGGTGTTTCTATGTGCTTTTCCTTTGTTATTTGGTCATTTAACACGTTGACGACAGTGCCACGCAATGGTGCGCGGCGGCCTCAAATTCAGTACTATCTCTCCAATCCTCTCAGTTTTTGTTCATATAATCAACATAGGCTCAGATGTACTTCATGTATTAACCCCGCCTTTTTTGGCAAACTCCGCCCACTTTTATGCCTCTCACAAGGATCCTTTTTGTCCACAAAAAGCATGGATGAGGCTATAGATGAACGCAAAGACTTCAAGCAACTTCTAGCCAGGCCCCGCCCACCGTCAGGCAAGCTCCGCCCACTTTTCAAAAGTGGCGGAAATCGCATAAATTCTTGAAATTTGGACAATTTCCGACATTTCTGGTCGAGTGGGCGGAGCTTGCCAGAGGGGGCGGGGCTTGCACATTTTGTACTTGGTGCATGGATGCATGCATACATACATGGGCCACGCGTAGGGATGCATGGAAACGTCTCGTCCACAGGGACAGACCGCAAAAAAAATGGCTCGTCGTCAACGTGTTAATCTGCTTCATCTTCACAAAAGGTGGACCCTCATAGGTAGTTACATGTTTGACATTTTTTTTATCGACCAGCATATCCTCGAACCTCGAACGAAACATATCCTTTTCAGATTGGAGTGCGTTAGTTGAAATGCTTGAGATTACTAATGATGGAGATTCTGTTATGGTTGCGCTTGGATTATCTGCTTATTTGTCTGCTCATTTTGTCCAAATAATAAGTGCTCTAACAACTTGATGGTTGCTTATTTATTGATGGTTGTCTGGAAAATAAGTGGACACATATGGAAATGAATAGTTTGCTCATCGGTGCTGTCCATGCATACTGCAACGGTGAGCATAATTTGTTTCTTGTGCAAAGATTAATCTTCCTCTTTAGAATTGGAACTTAATGAATATATGGTTTATATGTGATGCGCATACGGATCTCTATCGCGGAAGAATCACATAACTCCAATTGTGCGTTGCCTTTTCATCTTCGTAAGATCCTTGTGATCTTTATTTGCAGGTACACGCGGCTGACTTCTTACATTTCTGTGAGATACTTGTCACGAATCCCGGGAGCGCAGTTGTTTCTTCTAGCTTCTGTTTCTAAGCTCGAATCTACATGCGGATTTGCTCACTGTGTCGTGCATCACAGAATTGTTCCCATTTAACCATCAATGTGGCTGCCATTCGATCGTTTCAACGCGTTGACTCTACAAATAAGACGCTTATCCGAAGCTGACTGTTGAAATGATCGAAAGACAGCCACGTTAAAGTTTCCGTGGGAACAGTTTTGGAAAATGTTATATGTTCATATATATTGTAATGACACATGTTGTATGTTGTATATGTTGAATATCATTCGTGTTTTCTTCTCTGTTCTCCTGTTTTGTAAATATGGAATAAAATATTCTAAAAGATTTTTGTATAACACTGCATGATTAGAATAATAATATAGTCAACAAAGCTAACCCTGGCGAGACGTGCCCCATTATCCGCTGCGCTGGGTGAAGCCGGCTGGCATCCGCACCACTTTCGTGCCAACACCGGCTGGCGGGCGGCCGGCGGCCGGCTCGCCCGGAATTGAGGTGTTGCCTCAGCCGGTCGTCGCTCGGTCACCAGCCGGAAAAAGTATCTGAGGCTTAAATGAGCGCGTGTTGTGTAAAACAACACGTAACACGCAACACGCGCTCATTTAAGCGGCGTATAAATTGTGCGGGAATCACAGGAATCGCAGGAACCGTAGGAATAGCAGGAATAGTATGGCCGATCCCATAGAGGGCGCCGTCTAAATCTATTCAACCGGCTGCGCGGGCGGTCCGCGCGCGCCCTCACTGCTGCACTCATTGCTCGCTCGTGTTTCAGTTGTTGGCGCTACTAACAAGTCATGCGTGTGATGCTTGAACTCTGCTTTTATTGAGAAAAGCTTGCTTTTATAGAGGATTCCTTCACGAGATGTACGATTGCATTGCTCCTATAGCCGAGTTAGAATGTTCTAACGTCAAAGACGCTTTTCGACACTCATATTGCCAGAGACATGCCGTCGTATCAAAAGTCTTCACATAGATCATTCTATAACAGAAAAATAGCAACGTATTGATTAGCACTTTTTGCACCGGCCTTAAATTCGTTGCGTGAGCCCGAATACCGTACCCCATTCCCTCTTGTGTTTGATGAAAAAAAAGGCGACTGACGCGCATAAACTGCAGATGCAATGTAGTCTCCATGGTCTAGTGGCTAAGGGGTGAGACTCTCAGCTGCCAGACTCGGGTTCGATTCCCCACTCAGGAATTCCTTTTTGCCACTAACGCTGGCTCCAAAAAACAGCTGATTTCTCCACAGATCCTATTATATATAAAAAGAATCTGTGTCTCAAAATTCAAAGGTACCTCCACTTTAAGGATATATTTCGCTCCCAAAATGAACGAAATATAAAAATGTAAAAGCATTTTCGCTTAAGAGCTTGTTGTCTTCTTTTTATTGGTACCATTCTCTCCGACCCATCTTCACTGGTTCGTAAGTTATGAGCTCTCAAAGTTAACGTATTGGTTAAAAGCGCTGCTGCTTCTTGAACGATATCTTTCGTGGTTCTGATAACCACTCAGATAATCGCGGGGGGCAGGCGGGAATGCGAATTTTGAGCAAGCGGGCACCGGAAAAATAGTTCGCTGATTTCTTGCGGCCTGCTTGCAGAAATTTGGAGGAATGTTGACCACTTTTCAGATGAATGCTCGGAAAACTATCGCGGTTTTCCCACAGTTTAGTTGCGGCGCATTGACGGCAATCTCGCGAACTTTCCGCGAATATGCAAAATTATTGAGGGCCGCGCGGTCCTTTGTGGAGAATTGCACAGCCCTCAGGTACTTTCCGCTAAGAGTACCTCAAACATTCGACAGTAAAGGAGGTGCCGCCCGCTGAAGGTTTGGCCACGCCCCAAAATTCTGCTGACCGCCTGCAAGAAAACGCGAGTTTGCGGATCGCCTTTCCCGGCGATTATCTGAGTACTTGCGGGGAAGTTCGAACGGTGCTATCCTTGTGTCCGCGGCCCAAAATTTCAAAGCCGTGAGTTTGGCTGAGATTTGGTCGATGGGGATCACAAATATTGCATTCTTTTCTTTTTTCACAAAAACGCCACTTGGTGGGGCAACGGTGGGTATAAGTAGAAGAGTCAGTTCTGTTTTGGCTGAAATTTGGTCTAGGGGGTTTTCTGAGGTGCTAATCACGAATACCATATTCCTTCTGCATTCTGCGGCGGGCTCAGTCTTCCAGAATTCTTCGAACCAACGTACGCCGGGCCCTGCGGTTTTGGCACGAAAGATGAGGGGGACGCTGTGAGCATACTGATTAGAAGTACATTGAAGGGGGAGGAGGATACTGTGACTTTCTTCAGTAAGCTTTTGAAAAAAGGGGGTTTTGCAGACGGGACAGTTCTTTGAATAACGAAGAAAGAGTGGACAACTTCACTGTGGAGTTTTAGAGGGTAAAATTTAGTGCATTTTGTCTAGGAAATTGGGAAAGGAGAACTGATATTTTAAGGCTAGAGTGATGAGGAAATTAAGCTTTTGTGGAAGACAGTCTTTTCGCATGGGCGGTCATCAGCGCTATCTTAATTTTGACTTGTCTGAACACGTCAGCACGCCGCAAATCTTTCTTCCGCCTGCTCTGCTTAGGCAAAAGCCGCCGCAGGGTGTTCCGCGCGCGGCAGTGGTCCTGTGTGGAAAGCAGAACGGACACGAATCGTCCTCACCCTCCTCTGATGCTTTGACGGAAAAAGCTGCTAACGCTTTGAGAAAATTTTACACCGAAAAGAACGTACAATATATCAGCTGAGAGAAGCCACAGAAAAGAGAGCTACGTGAATGATGCTATACGAGAGAGTCTAGAGAAAAAGCGCGAGCTGTAAGGTGTGCATTTCAGTTTTGGAGAATGAGCTTTACTAAACGCGACATTTTTCTTGACTCCAAACGTTCTTCTGCAAGCAGTCGTACTTTCGTCATTAGAACTACCATGCGCACCATGCTTTCCCAGCAGAACTTTTCAATCAAAACATTACTAGATGAAGTTTATTAGCTTTTACGGCATTGAAAAAGGGGTTATACGAGGCTAGTGACTCAATACAACATTTCTCACACCTGCTAGCTATTGGGCCGCTAGTATGGACAAGTAATCGATGTTGCTCCTGCTTCTACTCGATACTGTGCATCTCGAATTTTTCGAAAGAGCTAGGAACGATGGTTTTGCTCACAAAAGAACCTCTTTCTTTTCTTTGGGAAGCTTTGTTTAATGTAGTTTCGGTGCATAGCTATTGGATAAATACTTTGTTCCATTGCTACTCTTTTGATTCAGTCTCCAATCCACTATCTTATATATAAAGCTGAATGTCTGTTTGTATGTCTGTCTGTATGTATGTCTGTATGTATGTATGTACGTATGTTCCGAATAGAAAATTCCATTTCTGAACCGATCCGGACCAAACTTGGCACACATACACTACGGGCCCCGGCGGGTGTCATAGGCTACTTTTCGTCATCGATCGATATCGATTTTATCGATTTTTATCGATTTTTTTGCTGAGTTCACCTACGGGGCTGGGAGTTGGCACAGGGGGGTAATCGAGCATGGGGACTCCGAATACAATATTGGTTTTCAGGATTATCGATTACTTTTATCGATTTTATCGATTTTTTGCAAAGTTTGAGCTACGGGGCTGGGAGTTGGCACAGGGGGGTAATCGAGCATGGGGATTCCGAATACAATATTGGTTTTCAGGATTATCGATTACTTTTATCGATTTTATCGATTTTTTTGCAAAGTTTGAGCTAGGGGGCTGGGAGTTGGCACAGGGGGGTAATCGAGCATGCTGATCATCCCCAAGGGGGGTGATCAGCATGCTCGATTACACCCCTGTGCCAAATTCCAGCCCCCTAGCTCAAATTTTCAAAAAATCGATAAATTCGATAAAAGTAATGGACGATCTTGAAAACTAATATTGTGTTCGTAATCAGCATGCTCGATTACCCCCCTGTGCAAACTCCCAGCCCCGCAGGTCAAACTTTACAAAAAAATCGATAAAATCGATAAAAGTAATGGACAATCCTGAAAACTAATATTGTGTTCGTAATCAGCATGCTCGATTACACCCCTGTGCAAAATCCCAGCCTCGCATGTCAAAATTTACAAAAAATCGATAAAATCAATAAAAGTAATCGATAATTCTGAAAACTAATATTGTATTCGGAATCCCCATGCTCACTTCCCCCCTGTGCCAACTCCTAGCCCTGTAGGTGAACTCTGCAAAAAAATGGATAAAAATCGGTAAAATCGACATCGATCGATAACGAAAAGTGGACTGTGACACCCGCCGGGGCCCGAAGTGTATGTGTGCCAAGTTTGGTCCGGATACGGCGGAGCCGGGTAAGCCAGCTAGTTGTTAATATATCCAGCGAAATTTCGACTAGATGAAGAGATGAGATGAAGTAGCCAAGATACCGAACAAGTTTTTAGTGTTCACACCTGAAACTCCGTTGGTGTCGATGAGATTGAGGCGATTAAGAAAAGGAAAAGAACCTTTTTGCTAAGAAACAAGGAGATTTGAGAACGCCAGACATTTCCAAAGAGTTGCATTTGTTCCTAATGGATCCTTCAAGATGAAGTAACACGTACATACTATCTTGCTAACCACGCTTGTGAGAAGTGTGCTTGTGTTTGAAATCTATGATAGGTATTCTACGGAAGTCCAGGGGCGGTATGCATCAATCTTCCGTTTTGAAAACGGGCGATCATTTTCAATAGAAATCATACATTACGGGTCTGGCGCCCATCCCGGCCGGGCGATCATTTTCTATTGAAAATGAGCTTTCAAAACGGGAGATGCATACCGTCCCAGGTTATCGCTAATATCATATATGACCTCGATTATAACCCCTTTCCTATCTGACTCTCCTCAGTAGGTGGCGTCCCCTCGCGTGACCCTGGCAATTTTCATGAGTTGCAGAACAAGGTGGAGGGATGTTTGTGAAGCGCTACTTAGGGCCGCATGCACTAACATCCCCGCGGGGAGGGGATCGCAGCTTAAAAGAAAGCTTTATATTTCGAAACTCCGGATACCTGGATTTTACGTTGTGTACCTATCCGTAAGTATTCCTACTGCCCTTCACTATGAACATGTTGAACAGGAGCGAGAAGCTGTACGAACCGCATTTTCCAGCTTTTGTATGATCCCTGATGATCCCCGGCGCTTTTCTTCAAAGTTATTTTTCTCTCTCCGAAGTTAACGAAAACCCTCCAAAGTTGTACTGAACATCTAACACAACAGTGGTAAGCATGTTGCTGATGAGAATAAATGAGTTTTTAAAAAGTCGAATTTTTCGGTAAACCTCAAATTTCGACCTGTGGATCATCGAAAATTTCATGACTTCAAAACATCATTTGTTCTTATCAGCAACACGCTTAGCACTGTCGGGTTAGATAGTCTGCATAACTTTGGAGGTTTTTCGTTAACTTCGGAGAAAGAAAAATGACTTCAAAGAAAAGCGCCGGGGATCACCAAGGACCATACAAAAGCTGGAAAATGCGGTTCGTACAGCTTCTCGCTCCTGTTCAACATGTTCATAGTGAAGGGCAGTAGGAATACTTACGCATAGGTACACAACGTAAAATCCGGGAATCTGGAGTTTCGAAATATAAAGATTTCTTTTAAGCTGCGATCCCCTCCCCGCGGGGATGTTAGTGCATGCGGCCCTTAGTTAGCGTCCAGACATTTTCTGTTGAAAATGATCGCCCGCTTTCAAAACGGGGGATTGATGCATACCGCCCCAGGTGTAGAATTTATCAAGGCGAGTTGGGGATGAAAATAGATATCGGGATGGAATCGTCAAACTCCCTTGATTTTCGGCTTTCATCATGCAAGAAACAATTTCTTGCCAAAACTTATCGTTAGCAACGAGACATCACAAAATACTTTTTCCATATCCTTCAAAAAGGTGTTGGTGGACATTGAGTCATTCCGCCGCATAGTATGGTTTAGGACTGTCAAGGAAGAACTATCATAACTTATAATAACGGGCTAAGGGTGTTTACGTGTTTTTGTGTGTGTGTGTGTGTGTGAGAGTGTGTCTGTTACGAAATTCGTGGAGCAGGTTCCAGCCAACCTTTTGAGCCCAAATTTTGCATGGAGCATGCTACCAGCTCAAAAGCCCAATGCACGAAAGCATGAGCGGATCCGATGAATGGATCCTTCAAAAATTGCCCGCCAAGCGGATCCACATGGCTTTTGGCCCGCGTAAGTGGGCCTGTATTACAATCTCTTGCGAATTTTGGATTTATGCCACATGCACATCTGTAAGCTGAGCGTTTCAATGCAAAAATTCTCAAAAAAATTCATTCCCACGCGGAGGCGGCGCCAAAATGTGGATTTTGAGTAAATTCTCGATTTTCGAATGTTCTACTGAAGGAAAAGAGGAGATTTTTGCCCAGAAATGCAGTACGGAATCGTCGTTGTCATCGTGGCAATCGTTGCATTATTAGCAAAACAGAAACTATTTCAAAAACGTGTTTAATCTTTAGCTGCAAAAATTTTTTCGCCCAACATCACCGATTTCTTATGCTAGGACATTCGAAATGTGTAGTTCGTAGTAATTCATTTGTGATGCGCGGCATTACTTGGTGAGTTTCATTTTCAGAGAGAGGGAAGCAAGATGCATTGGATAACACAAGTGCATGTGGTGTATTTGGATGAAGCAACGTAATCGTAGCTTTGCTTCTTTCTTTCCCTCAGCAAGTCATCTCAGTGATTGCAGCGAACGAGATGTTGCGAGCACGTGTACGTGCTGCGTCAATCCACGAGCACTTACATTCTGCCAAGTTTTATTTTTCACAAAGAAAGTAAATGAGAGAAGTCATGTCAGAAGGCTAGATCAAGCAAGTCTAAACATTATCAGTCGAATGGCGGTAAAGATTTGTTTGAAAGCCTTGGCAAACATAGTATTTTGCCTGATACAGAAGTCACGACGTATGGGATAAAAGGTAGTGGTGAGCTTTGATGAATATATGCTCAAAAGTTGATAGATTTCTACACTTACGAACACCATCTGCTGTTTTTGCATGAACATCAATTGTAGTAAGTTTTCAAGCAATAAGTGCATATGACAAAGACGCTTATAAAGAGCACATGAACCCTTTACATAGTTCTGAGAGCGCGGCTTCCCAGAATTGAAGCAAATCAAAAGTCAACATTGAAATCAAAGTCTATTGTGGCAGTGGTTTACTGCTATGTGTTATATGCTACTGTCATGAAAGTCCAACGCGCAAAAGCACGAGCAGATTCGTTGAGTGGATCCCTCAGAAACTGCGCATCAAACGGATCCACTTTACATTTGGGCCCCAAAATTGGGTCCGTAATTCCACTTTTTGCAGAGTCACGGTTGTTTATGCCAAGTAAATGTGCATGCCATGATCTTAGGCCTAAAAAAGTGATCAAAAGCCCATTACTTTACAAAAACGGCGCCAAAAGGTATTGGTTGCGTAAATGGTCAATTTGCTAAGATTTCACCAGAGCATTTGGCGAGATTTGTGCGCGAAGATGTAGCTCACGGTGACTGCTGTTCTAATTGCAACCGTCAAGACCATGGGAAAATCCAAAACCTATAGAAATTTGCGTTTGTTATCCTGCAAAAAGTCTCATCCATCTCATCCACGCGAAATCACCGATTTTACCTAAAAAAGCTTTTGGAATGAGTAATTGTTTACATTTTGTTCGTGATAGTTGGCACTGCTCGGTGAGTTCCAATGCCATCATTATGCGAGAATGAGTAGGGCCTAGATAGTAGAGCCAGTGCGAGCCTCTGCGAAGCAGAGGTGACGCACTGGTAACAAATAAAAGCCATTTGCTACATTATAGTGACTTTGCGGAAACAGTCATATCCCATTGTAGAGAGGTTATTGAGGTTTGAGAGAGAGCGACGTCTTCTACTGCTCACTGGGCAAATTACCTTTTGCGTCTCACCAACTTCTAGCTGGAAAGCTACCCGTTTCGTCAATAGTAAAGTTGTTAGGTAGATTAAACTCCTAACTCCTAACTGAACCGAAAATTTCACAGCTTCTTACACGGTTTCGGACCGTGAAATCGCGCGTGGCGAAAAAGAGTGTACTTTCGGCCGTTAGCCAGCAAGAACCTTATTTCGCAGACTATGGACTACATCTGTAATCAGCATGCCGCTCCATACCCAAAGTTCTGAATGAATTCGAAGCGTTCGAATTTTGTCGCTTGAGAGGGACTTTTGTGCTTTCTTGAAAGATGGGAGCAAAAACTTAGTTTCAAATCTTCTTATATATAAAGCTGAATGTCTGTTTGTATGTCTGTCTGTATGTATGTATGTATGTATGTACGTATGTTCCGAATAGAAAATTCCATTTCTGAACCGATCCGGACCAAACTTGGCACACATACACTACGGGCCCCGGCGGGTGTCATAGGCTACTTTTCGTCATCGATCGATATCGATTTTATCGATTTTTATCGATTTTTTTGCTGAGTTCACCTACGGGGCTGGGAGTTGGCACAGGGGGGTAATCGAGCATGGGGATTCCGAATACAATATTGGTTTTCAGGATTATCGATTACTTTTATCGATTTTATCGATTTTTTGCAACGTTTGAGCTACGGGGCTGGGAGTTGGCACAGGGGGGTAATCGAGCATGGGGATTCCGAATACAATATTGGTTTTCAGGATTATCGATTACTTTTATCGATTTTATCGATTTTTTGCAAAGTTTGAGCTAGGGGGCTGGGAGTTGGCACAGGGGGGTAATCGAGCATGCTGATCATCCCCAAGGGGGTGATCAGCATGCTCGATTACACCCCTGTGCCAAATTCCAGCCCCCTAGCTCAAATTTTGCAAAATCGATAAAATCGATAGAAGTAATGGATAATTCCAAAAACTAATATTGTATTCGTAATCTGCATGCTCGATTACCCCCCTTTGCAAACTCCCAGCCCCGCAGGTCAAACTTTACAAAAAAATTGATAAAATCGATAAAAGTAATGGACGATCCTGAAAACTAATATTGTGTTCGTAATCAGCATGCTCGATTACCCCCCTGTGCAAAATCCCAGCCTCGCATGTCAAAATTTACAAAAAATCGATAAAATCAATAAAAGTAACCGATAATTCTGAAAACTAATATTGTATTCGGAATCTCCATGCTCACTTCCCCCCTGTGCCAACTCCTAGCCCTGTAGGTGAACTCTGCGAAAAAATCGATAAAAATCGGTAAGATCGACATCGATCGATAACGAAAAGTGGACTGTGACACGCGCCGGGGCCCGAAGTGTATGTGTGCCAAGTTTGGTCCGGATACGGCGGAGCCGGGTAAGCCAGCTAGTAGTATCTAAAAGTATCTATATTGTACACTGTACTCGTCACTATTCAAACTACAGTTTATCTCTTTGAAATCGGAGCAAAGGAAAGTTGCGACGTCGCGTCCTTCGCGTTGCTGCACTTCGTTGCAACTGTTGTTCGATTTGTCCTCATATCTCCTAAACAAATATCGGCGGCACAACTCTACGGAGTCTTGGGGCACTCGAGGAGGTAATCGAGCATGCTGATTACGAATACAGTCTCAGTTTTCAGAATTATTCATTACTTTTATAGATTTTATCTTTTTTGCAAAGTTTGAGCTACGGGGCTGGGAGTTCGCAGAGGAGGATAGTCGAGCATGCTGGTTACGAATACAGCATTAATTTGTCGCTATTCGGCTAGCCTGGCCCAAAAATTTTTTCGTCATAGAGGTTGCTCAAACTCGTCTATCATACATGCTGATTACAGATATCACACTTTCTCCGCAAAACGCCTCGCTCTGTGGTTACGATCGGTGTACAGGAAGTTAAGAATTTGGCTGGAATTCGGTCTAGAGGGCTTATTCGACATGCTGATTACGAATATCATACTCTCTCTGCATATTGGGACCTTTTCATAGAGTTGTGGGTGGTTATACCACTCCATAGGTGCGATGGAGTGATCGGGGTCCCTCCAAAGTGAAGGGTGTCCCAGCTGATTGTGACCCTCAAAAGTGAAGAGTGTCTGAAAAGTGCCGGCGTCGACCGGGGGGGGGGAATTGAGAATTCCAAGCGACCGGGGGGGGGGGGTGGGAGATTGAAAAAATGGTGAAAATTATAAAATTATCCAGTATAAATGGTCAAATTTTCTAAATTGGATTTGTATGAAATATAATTAGTGAAATGTTTATAAGTACTTTGTTCTCAATTTATATAAATATTATTTTATTTTGATACCCATTTTTCGTTGAGAAAATGCATGTTTAGGTGGGTGGAACGTGTAATGTTGTGAATGTGATTTCGACCGAAAATTGCAATGGACAGTGGCAGATACTCGAGGCTTGGAAGGTGCTGAATGAAGTTTCACTTGGAACTTACAAATGTGGATAATGTTGATAAGAGACCTCGATGATCAGGAATTATTGTTGCTAATAAATCCGTAAGTCGATATCTATGAATACAATAAAAAAATTTGCTGCTCAATGTTCCACTTGAAGCAGGATAAACATACACAATGAGCACAGTGATAAGACTAGTATAATTGAGTCAGGAGAAATTCTTAGCGCAATAAAGTTGAAGCTACGCTGTTGACGATAATTGAGCAAGGTCAGTTTTGCTAACGGTAACTTGCAGTAGATCGCTTTCCAGTATAACTCTTGTATGAATGAGCTAAAGCCAGTTTTAAACTAGATTCGGATCCTGGCCTTCAAAAGCTATACTACGATATAGAATTTGAGAGGTTCGATATCTTTGCCAGGTGAGATAGTTTCCAGAGGTCCAATGGTACCCCCGCCCTCCACGTCAGAGCCCCATATCTCTACGGTCGGGGCATTTCATGATTTGATTTTTTTTGCATATTCAAGAGGGAGGTCCATTTAGTATTACCTATACCCTCGCAAAGAGATTCCACGAGACCGACTAACTAAAATTCAAAATTTACCTGTTTTTCAAGCGCCTTTTATTCCCTGCTGTAACTCTCCATTAGTACATCCGATCTCTCTGCGAGGGTAGAGGTAAGACTCAGTAAACCTCCCTCTGTAAGATGCAAAAAAAAGTGTAGCATGGAATGCCCCCGTCGCCGAGATATGAAGCTGCAAAGAAACCCATCAAAAATCGATTTTTTTAATATAACTTTTGTAAAAGTGAATATCAAAACGGCGATAGTGAAGGTGGATTCGTCTCGTCAAGAGCTTTCGAATGATATATAACATGTGGGGGTAATATGTATTTTAAGCCCTGCGAGGGGGGGGGGGGGGTGAGCAGTCTCAGTTAAGCCTGCTCACCTCCCGGCGCCTCTCTAATGCATTAACACGTTGACGACCGTGTGCATCCGCGCGTATGCACGCCCAGACCACCTTTTAGCACTTTCGTGCATCAATTTATCATGTGTAAACGAAAAGTCCTCATGTAACTTCTATGCAGTGGTAACTCTGGTGGCCTGGTTGTCATATAGAACACACGGCATTGCAGTAGGTGTCAAACAGTCCAAACCGCAGGCGTAGATCATCAGTCCATTTTGAGGTGGTCAAAAATGGCTCGGTCGTCAACGTGTTAAGGTGGCGGGGGGTAAGCACCCTGAACTGAGGCCGCTCACCCACCCTCGCAGGGCTTAAAAAACATAGGACCCCCACATGCTATATATCAATCGAGGGCTCTTGAAGGTTAGAATCTACATATACCCTCGCATCTCAAATTCGTTTACATATACACAAGTTATTTGCGAAAAATCGATTTTTGGAGTTGTGTTTTCTGCTCTATTTGCGACTTCGTAACTCTAAGAGGAATTCTTTTTAGGATCCAGTTTTTTCTATATGATAGAGGAAAGGTTATTTACTAACGCCTATACTCTCGCAAGATGATATTATGCAACTGACTTAAGTTATACTAACTCAAAAACTGACTTTCCTTAAAAATGACCAACACTGTAATTTCAACTATACTGCCCTAGAAATTTCTCCTGACATCATTTATACTATTTTTATCATTATTCTGGACTCTATATGTTTATTATGCTCTACGCAAACACAAATGAACAACAAATTCTTTTATTGTAGCACATAAATATAGGCCGTCCGCGCCGCGCACGAAGAGCAACGCTGTTGCGTACATTGAAGGCGGTTCACGAGTGGAAGAAGCGCAGAGAAAAACAGGCAGCGAGAGAGCACGAAGAAAGAGGAGTAACGCGCAATACACACCTTGCGCACTCTCCGCGCCCTGCGCGGACGGCCTATACCGACAAAACAATTTATTTGCAAAAAAATTCATGATCAATGGCTCTTATTAACATCGTTCACATCAATATTTTCCAACAAAGCTGTCCATCAACGCCCTTCAAGCCTCTTAAAGGCAGTGTCCGGGCAAAATGAGGGTTCTGAGATTTCTCTGCCATGTGAAAGTAGCCCCCCTGAGACACAACATCGCGCAACTGCGAGCATAAAACGTTCGACCTAAAGCAAGAAAAACGATTGCAAATTGGGGAAACTTACGCCTTGGGGCGGGGTCCTCCGAGTTGTTTGAATTCCTGCCAGACGGCAGAGTACATATGCCGCCACAGTTAAAAACCGTGCGCTCTTTGCAACCTTTGCGTCTTAGCCTGGCGGGGATCCCCAAATTTCGAAATGTGAGGACTTGGAAAATGCATGTTCTCGCCGTTTTCGCGCCTTCTGATGTGGATTTTCGGATTCAGCGTTGCGGATAACCCCAGATAAGTTGATTTTTTAGAAGTCGAGTTTCTGCCCGGACACTGCCTTTAAAGGCAGTGTCCGGGCAAAAACTCGATTTTGAGATTTTGTGCTTACCCGGGCCTATTCGCTATGCTGAATCCGAAAATCCACATTGGAGAGCGCAAAAACGACGAAAAAGGGCTCTAATACTGGAGGGAAATTAGCAAGTGGGCGGGGTTTTCCCCATGGTGAATTCACGCTCCCAGTTTCGGGGGCGATCTTTTTGATTCCGGTTTCAAGTCATTCGTTTGCACTTGATTGGTAATGATGTCAGGGCGGCTAACGGATTCGAGAAAATTGCTCTGGAAGCTGGAAGCGTGAATTCACAGTGGGGAAGACCCCGCCCACTTGCTGACTTCCCTCCAGTGTTAGAGCCCTTTTTCGTCGTTTTCGCGCCCTCCAATGTGGATTTTCGGATTCAGCATAGCGAATAGGCCCGGGTAAGCACAAAATCTCAAAATCGGGTTTTTGCCCGGACACTGCCTTTAACATGCCTCTTCGCTTATGCCGGTATGCATGTACATCCCCGCTGGGGAGGGGAGGGGATTCGAGAGGGGATGCGTCATATCTCGCTAATCTAGGTATCTTTTTTCTTCCTTAGCTATCTTGCCTATGAAGGTTCTTCTTTATATCTGCGCATAATGGATGTCAGGTTACTGCCTTTATAGAGTTATGAGTGGTACATAGGTGCGATGGGGTGAGCAAAAGCTCACCCCCCTTCACTTTGGAGGTCGGACCACCCCCCCCCCCCTTCACCTGAAAGGGACGAAAAAAATTTTTTAAGGTGAGGAATTACTGCACACGGAATTACAAAAATATTGAATGAAAAAATGCATTTTTAGAAGGATCGGATGTTGTAAAAATGGGTTCGAACTACAACGATATGGGCAGCGGGCAATGGCAGACATTAAAGGCAGCGTCCGGGCAAAAAGTCGATTTTGAGATTTTGTGCTTACCCGGGCCTATTCACTATGCTGAATTCGAAAATCCACATTGGAAAGCGCGAAAACGGCAAAAAAGGGCTCTAACGCAGGATGGAAATCGGAAGTGGGCGGGGTCTTCCCCACTGTGGATTTCGCAGTCCCAGCTTCTGGAGCAATCTTCCTAATTCCTCTAGCGCCCTGAGATCTCCACCGGCCAGGTGCGAATGCATGACTTGAAATCGGAACGGAGAAGATCGCTCTGGAAGTTGGGAGCGTGAATTCACAGTGGGGAGGACTCCGCCCACCTGCTGATTTCCCTCCCGTGTTAGAGCCGTTTTTCGCCGTTTTCGCGCTCTACGATGTGCATTTTCGGATTCAGCCTAGCGAATAGGCCCAAGTAAGCACAAAATCTCAAAATCGAGTTTTTGCCCGGACACTGCCTTTAAAACGCGTGAAGGGGAAATCAAAGCGTCCTGCAAATTTCTCGGCATGGATGGGCTCGGGTAGAGTCGAACCTGAGACGGTCACTACTGAACGGGTCCTTTAACAAAAAATCTGGAGACCCGCACTACCCCAATTTGGTTATACATTGCCTCTAATGTAGCTCGTTGACGTCAGCTCCGGCGGCTGGCTAAGGCACCAGGCAGCTGCCGGGTAATAACTTGCTACAGCCCTCTCGCACAGCAAATCACATATTTATCAAGCAGAGGATAAAACTATACATTTACAGAGAACATGACACATGCTCAAAATAATGTGCACTTGATGATCACTTAGAACTTTATACAGTGTGGATTTATAAAATGCTCGATACTGATACCATACTGCGACTGGACTGTTTCCATCAAGTTTGCTTCTCGATTATTTTTTACCAGATTGACTACAGTTCTTTCTCTCTCGAGATCCATTGGTGCCACGCGGCCCACATATCCTTTCGCTTTTCTTGGCATTTCATAGTTTACAATGACGGAGATCTAAAAAGGTAATTTCAGGAGAAACGAGTGAAGAAGCATTGGGGAAACAATGTAAAAATTTTCTACATTTTTTTTGAGACAAAGTGTGTCGCTTCACACTTCGAGCGAAATTCTTAAACGTTAGGGACCCGTGGTACATCGCCAAGAAAAGCCCAAAAGGGCCCAAAAAAGCTCAAAGCGCTCAAAAAAGGCTAAAAAGCCTAAAAAAGCCAGAAAAAGCCCGGAAGCGCCAAAAAGAGACCGAACGCAGAAAGATTGGTAGAATTCTGAAATTATTTTAATGTGCAGACTATAGTCGTCCTCCCCCCACTAGACACTCGGTGGATGGATTTGAATTCGAGCCGGAGCAAATGTTTAGCGTCAGAGCGCGGCAGACGCCGCCTCAGTCAAAGTGTGCGCAAAGGCTGTTTTTCCATTTTTCTTTGTGATTCCTTGTTATTACTCATATTGCGGCAATGTATTGTATCATATTCGAGGTATTGTTGCCGCTGATCGTTGTTTGATGCTCTTATTATCGTTTGCCGTACATTTTATTTCAGAAAGCTGGAAATACGATGCAGTTGAAGATTTTTCCGATAATACATTGCCGCAATATGAGTAATAACAAGGAATCACAAAGAAAAATGGAAAAACAGCCTTTGCGCACACTTTGACTGAGGCGACGTCTGCCGCGCTCTGACGCTAAACATTTGCTCCGGCTCGAATTCAAATCCATCCACCGAGTGGTGTCTAGTGGGGGGAGGACGACTATACAGAAAATGAACCAAAAAGACTCGATTGCGAAAACAACACACATGCGCCAAAACGTGCGCGCGGAAGGGGGCGTTCCGGCTCTTTCTGGCGCTTTTGGGCTTTTTTCGGCGAAGTATGACGGGTCCCTCCATGAAATGAATAAATGAATGAAGTACACAAGATTGCGAATGCATGATGAAGTTGCGCGTACTCCTGCCTCCTATGCAAATCTATTGCATGCAAAAGCAAGCTCCATAAAAATGAAGACATCATTAAAAAGTATACACCTCTTTTTCTTTGAATAGGTTAGCCGAGGTCTCCGTTATCAAAACCACTCCTGACGAGGACGACTCAAACTTCTGCATCTCCTCTCTAAATTTCTTCGTCTTCATACCAACAAGGCAAACTATGTGGTAGCCTCGAGCCGCTAAGTGCTCCTGGATCCATATAGCCTATGGAAGTAAAATTATCATGACAACGACAGCGAGTAGCCGCAAAAGGCCACCCACCTTTTTCGGCCATTTACATATGATCACTGTCTTTTCGTACTCCAACTTCTCATACAAATCACAAAGTACTTCAAACTGAGTCTTCTAAAAAGCAAAATACTTCCCTTAAATTCGAAATACGTTATCGATACCTTTGCGGCCACATTATTTCTGCAAAAGTCACGAGTTCGCTCACTTTGTTGATCATCTGAATGTTTCCACATAAACTAATACAAATTTTCTTCCAATTCACCTTGTACTTCAATACATATGTGTCGTCTTCGGTTCATCACAGGTTCACGCGGTTCACTTGGGGCAAGCTTTTCGTATGGGGATACAGTGTTGTCAACAGCTTCACTCGCATGTATTAGTTCCTTTCCTGATAGCAGGACGCACTAAAACAAGCAACAAACGCTGAAATATTGAGCATAAGGGAAAGGCTATGTATAGAGCAAATTCGCTAAAGTAAGAAATTATGCAAGTGATAATTAGTCCCAGTCAAAGGCGACTGGCTATATGGGGTAATGCACGCGAACGCTGTGCGGGGCCAGTAGTCACCGGATGGTCAGTATTCTTTACTGTGTTCTTCACATGCACTCGGCGAGGACATTTGCTTGACCGCAGCGTTTCCGTCCATCCGCTTTGAACGAATACGCTTACATCCTGGACTAACAACTACCTGTTCTATCTGCGAATCACTACGAATTCTATATTCTATAAAATTAAGGAAATTTTGGTTTCGCTGGTAAATTAAATGCCCAGTGCGGTGGAAAGGGAGTAGCGTTTGACATAGATTTAAATCCGGTTGTAAATCAAATCCAAGATCGAAAGCCTTTCAAACAGCATACCCGGTCAAAAGATGAATATTTATAGAATAAGAACTACATGGTACTACACATCATACCTGAACACTTTCAGGCATAGACTGGATTACATCGTGCAGTAGAGTTTTGAAACCAGTGCAGAAGAGCTCATCCGCCTTTACCATTACCAAAACTTGTATGCTGTCCGTATCTGCAAGACCAACAAAAATTATCAATTGCATTCTGAAGCACTGGAAAACCTTTGCTCAAATATTTGGTAATTATTGAGTTCCGAATAATCTGAATTCATATTTTCCCATGCAATAAGTCTGATTATATGATTATACCTGAGGTGATGTGTAAAATTTATTATGTTGAGGTTGTGAAATTGATCAAGCTTTGCACAAAACAGTTCCCGATTCGAAAAAAAAAACAGGAAAAGTAACAGTTTGCTATCAATGGTGCTACCAACTAATAACCAAACTCACGTAGGAACTGGCGTCTTAATAGATGACATGCTCGTTGAGGTGATGCTATAAGGACATGAACACCGTTACTCAGTACATAGCCATCATCTCGCAGTTTGGTCTGTTCACAGCAACCGTGTACCAAGATTTTCGTGCTTGAGAGGGATTTTTGCAGTTCGTCCAAAATCTGTAATAATGCTTTTTGACTTGCAAGTATCTTATTATTAGATTTCTGGTGAATCTGTCTGCAAATGGGAAAGAAGGTATCTTTCAGACATCCTTGTGGGGGAAAAAGTCAACCTGTTTGACATCCTCTTTTCTCGGAGCAATGACCAGCACTTGCACAGCTTCCTTGTCTACATCCACGCCCCTTATAGCGGCTAAAATGTGATGAGTGTGAGCTGTTAAATTCGCCTGATCGTGTTCGTCTTCCAAAGGATCTGAAAAAAAAGCGTAGTCAGATTGGGACTTTTTGATTCGAAGGGACGGAAATACTTTGAGATGAAATTTGTTATCGTCTGATATTATACGCATAAGTTCATCCACAGATAAACAGATATCTAAATCGGCGCCAATAGCCATAGGTTTTCAGCAAGCAGTTTTTGGCACAATACATTGCACATTGCAAGCCAGATCACCGATGATGGCAGAAATAGACTTTCTTCTTAGGCTCTTTTTTACATACTCTCCTAATTAAATCTAAGTCTGTAGAATTAAAACGTTTTCTGCTCCAATAGGATGTTGTTCAACCATGTTCCTCTTTTTCACATGACGCTATCCTTAGCGATTTGTGAAAATTTAGAGAACTGGAGAAGAAGACTGCAAACAAGAAAGATTTCTTTTGCTACTTATTGTTAGCGGTGCCACGACTGCCGCTGGTGTATAACAAGGTGTGCCGACTGTCGCAATGTGGCAGAGTCTATTGTCATTAGAGCCAATGCAGTAATCAGATACGTGATCCAAAAAATCCAAATCATATTTTACCTTCGCAATCCATGGCTTCCACGCCATCATCAATACCCGACTCGGGTGTGGGTACATCGCGTTCCAGTAAATCACTAGATTCATCACGAAAGTTGCACAAGGACATTTCCTTACAATACTGCTCCAGCAGTCGTTGTGCACGAGGCATATTGCTCGTGCAAACGCATTTGCCTTTCTTGAAAAATAAAAAAACGATTTCAAAACATAAATGATAGGACTGATAGGACTGATGTTACCTGAATGTCTTCAGGCAGTGAACTTATTATTGAAGATACTGCTTCTTTGATATCCTTGCTTAGTAATGGGCAGAAATTGTACATAACAAATAGATCGAGGGCATTGAGTACTGAAAATAGAGAGAATTGAAGCTGTTAAGACTCAGAAGTCCTAAGGTTTAATAACAGTGAATCAACGGTGATTATCATGAAGATTTCGGAAAGAGCACGAGTAGGGTTTCCTAATGTGTTCTTTCTTCTCAAACAAAAAGGAAAAGTGCGAGGTCTTTGTGAGTGAAAGTAAAAAGAGATACTGAGAGAACTTGCCCAGAAACCCTAGAAAGATCATGTGCTTTACGCGGCCTGGAGTGCCAACGATAATGTGAGCTCCCTTTGCTAGCGCTAACTTTTCCTCATTTATAGAAGTTCCTCCAACGCAAGCATGCACTTCGACTGACATAGGTTCAGCAATTTTCGTCATCGCCTCGGTAATCTGAAAGTACAGCAACTCTTTACTGCACAGCCAACTTTTCACATAGACAATCTTTGATCCTAATTTGCTAATTTCATGATTGAGGACTTTTTTGAATGTGTAAATTCGAGTCAACTTGCCTGTAGTGCTAAATCTCGAGTCGGCACCAAGACTAGAGCCTGGACATGGTTATCGCTTTTATTGAGGCGGCCGAGAAGTGTCTTCAAAAATTCTTTGGAAGTATAGGCGTTTGAGAACTGCTCCGAACTATCAACATCCCTCGTGAAGAAAACTGTATAGAACCAGCTGTCAATAGAGATGTTGTTTAACATTTTAAAACCTACCTCGATCTTCATTTAGCACTATTGAAGACTCTGTGGACGTCATGAGTGACCAAACTCAGTGACTCAAAAGTTAGTAGTAGCAGTGTAAGTGGAGTTAGGGCCGTAGGATGGAATGCGTTGGAAATCGAGAAGAAATCACAGCACGGGTCCCGCCACTCGCCGTGACAAGTCGATCATGTTTGATCTGCCGCATCTATGATTTTCCTTGGCGACCTCGTTTCTTCTACCTGCGGGTAGAGGACAATATTGCCAAAAGAGGAGGTCCCACGGGGGCATTTAACTAATCCCATAGCTTTGCAAATTACGAGCTCGTGCCAGATACGCGCCGATGGAGCCTACCGGCGACAATTGCCTCTACCCACCAATTACCACAGAATTTATAACTTTAATAATCATTGGGTGGAGGCATTAGTATAGGACTCTACGTTATCGCGAAAGTCGATGTGTTTGCGGCCGTTAAGGCAGGATGCCACAAAGCTTCATACTACCTAGTAATACGGCTGCAGCGTGGGGGACTATATGTCGCCGAATTTGGAAGAGTCCCGCGCGGATTCCCTGCAGGAACGCATGTCCGCGCATGTATGAGCGGCTCCATAACTTTGGCGAGGCGGAGCTGCGCTAGCGTGCCTTGCGTTGCGGTTGCCCTGTGCTAAGGCATACCTGATCTATCGATCTTTGGTGAAGATCACGACTCCGCCTCGCCAAAGTTGGGGAGTCGACAATACAGTCGACTAGATTTTCTGCTTAATATAGTGTGCTTGCACTGTAGGTGAAATGCGGTGAAATTTGCGCGTAATAAATTAGCCACGCCAATAATGCCGGCATTCTGCGCGCGCAAATGAAAGGCGTCACAGGCATTGCTCTTTCTTCACGCGCAGATTTTATCGCATTCCACCAACAGTGCAAGCACACTATATTAAGCGGAAAATCTACTCGACTGTACAAGGGTGCGTACAGTCTGCCCAATCCTAACCAGGCCAAAATTGGCTTGGCGGAAGTGCGCGTCGCGAGGGTTTCGCGCCACTTCTGCGTCTAGCTAGTCTGCCCTCTTCTCAATCTCTTCGCTCTCTGCGACAGCGCGCGTATGCAGCGCAAACCCCTAGCGCTGCGAGCGCGCAAATTCAGCCGACGGTTCGGCCTGATCCCGATTGGGGCAGACTGTATTTGACGCAAATGACCGCAGGGACCGCCCTTTTTCGGCGACATATAGTCCTCTACCCTACGGCTGCACGTCAGGAGGTACGCCGCGCGCGGCGGCCGCTCTGCTAAATTTCGCGCCGATCGTACCCTCGATATCAACCCATATGTCTTTCCTCAACATAATGTGGATTACGTGGATTGATAAGGCATCGCCTCGCTTCGGGCTCGCGCCACGTTGCGAGCGCATCGTTTGGCGCGACGTGGCGCTCGAAACAACGTGGCGCAGGCTTTTCCACGTTGTTCTTGTTGCCAAATCACGCCGAAGATGCGCACGCAACGTGGAGCGACCCCGAAGCGAGGCGGCGCCTCGTCAATCCACTAATCCACGTCATGTTGGGGGAAGACATGGGTTGATAACGAGGGTACCTCCTACCGTTCCCCCTAGTTATACGACCTCCGACGACCGACGTAGTTTTAAAATCGTCTCAGCTAATTGAAAGCTAGTATCCGATGGCAAAAAAGCATTTCAAAGAGAAAGAAAACCAAGAAGCTCAATGCGCGAGCAATGGCCGCGAACTCACCCAATCTCGCGACATGCAGAGCCTTATAGGCACCGTCCACCCAAATTCTCGATTTCCATGTTTTTGTCGCTTCCAGGCCTTCTGAAGGTCCTGATTCCGAATATGTAGTCGAGAATCCGCGAAATAACCAAAAAAACCCCATTTTGGAGAACGGCGCAATGCAAGTCGCAGGGCTGCGGCACGCTATACGCCCGGCGTATATCAACGCCGCAGCCCGCCAAACCTGCAAAACGGGCAGAGTGACCAGGTGGGCGGAGTGACCAGCTCCGGATTAGGTCCTTCCGGAGCGGATTTCTCGCTTGGGAAGGAGTCTTCTGCGGCGCTATTTGGGGGTTGGCCTAGTGTAGGGGCCTACATTAGTGCCATTAAATCTCGTGAACCCCCACTTTGGGTGGACGGTGCCTTTATAAAGGGCCGGGCATACTTCACGCGATTTCAGACGATTGCAAATATCATGCTCGTTCTCTGCAACAACGCTTCATTATAGAGTTACCACGAGCTATAGTGCATGATAGAGCAACTTTTTCGCTTTTCAGCCAAATTTAGATCCCAAAAATCTGCGAAAAGGCTTTATCTTGCAGACGATTGCGATGTACATGGTCGACACGTCAGATAGCACCCCCGTACAAAGGTTCGAGCAGATCTATCGCTTTCTCCACCTACCCTAAACCCATCGTAATGGCGAGGTAGTTCCAAAACGCAAAAAGAGTATGGTATTCAGCGTGCTTAGGAGCCCCTCCAGGCAAAGTTTAAGCAAATTCGAGATTTTTAACCATCTACTGCATCCACCGTAACACCGTAACCCGAGAAAACGGCGCTACCGAAATGAAGATGATTTTCATCTTTAGCGTGCCAAATAGCCCCCCCCCCCCAAAGGAAGTTTGGGGCAAATCCAAGCCTTTGGCCCCTTACAATTCTACCGTAACTCAACCGGATGGCACTACCGTGCGAAATAATTGTGATATCCGTAATCAGCATGCAAAATAACCCCATTATACGAAGTTTCAGCGAAATCCGCAACTTTCATTTTTGGGTCAACTAGTGTAGAATAGTACTAAATGTGCTTATAGTGAGTTATGGACAGTTGGAATATTGCCAGCTCGCGTCGCGACTGAAGTCTCGTGAAGTATGCTCGGCCCTTAAAGGCAGTGCTCGGCAATTCTCAACCCGAGCGCGTGTAAGGTTGGCTTGTGCGTGAAATAAGAATAATTTTTTCGGTACGGAGGCATGGTGTGCGATCGAGTTGCACAGTTTTCATACTTGGGTGATAAGCAATTTACCGCCTCAAAATCTTCAGTTATCAAGTTTTGCAGATCCACTGCCTTCACAGCCCGGCGCAGATCGAATGGATGCAGGTTGGACTTCGTTATTGGGACAAAAAGCAAAGCGGATATCGTTTTGCGTGGCCGGGGTGGAGCCCGGAAAAAACCGTGTACATGCATTGCTAGCGAAGAGTGTGAACGAAAATTGCACATACAGTGAGCAAGGAAATTCAGCTCACTTCCTGTAGCGCCAAAAGCGACCACTCTGTCAAGCATAAGCTTAGGTACTATTCCATATAATACAACCCAAAAATTGAAAATCACGGATTTCGCTGAAATTTCAGGGGGGTTATTCGACCTGCTGCTGATCACGAAGATGATATTTATTTTGCATGATGGGGACTTTTTCGAGGGGGTTACGGTAGGCATACGGTATGGGGTCAAAATCTTAGAATTCGCTAAAAGTTTGCGTAGAATGCATGCGACATGCTGACCACGAATACCAGATTCATTCCCCACGAAAACGCTTTATAGTGGGGTACGGTAGGATTGTGGTATGGGGCAGGGATCTCAAAATTCTCTAGAGCTTTGCGGAGCGGGATTTTTCGATATGCTGATTACAAATACCACACTTTTTCCGCAGGGAAACCTTTCCTTGTATGGTTACGGTAGGTATAGTAAGGGGCTAAAGCTGTAGATCTACTGAAACTTTGTGCGGGGGTGTAATGTCCTCATTACGAAGAGCTCATTTCTTAAAGCCTTCTTGTGGATTTTTGGGACCTCAATCGGTCTGAAAGATGCTTACCTAGGCGCTGCTAACTTTACAATAAAGCGTTGTTGTAGCGAGCAAGCTTGGTATTCGTTATCAACATGCTTGAAAACCCCTCTAGGCAACATTTTGAGCAAGTTGAGAATTTTCGCCATCTGTTGTATACCCCCCGTAACTCGAGGAGATGGATCACCGTACATAGTCAATATGATATCCACGTTTAGCGTGCCAAATAACCCCTCCAGATCAAATTCCAGCCAAATCTAGATTTTGACCCCCTACCGTACCGTAACCACACTGGGAGACGTTTTCGTGCGGGAGAATATGATATTCGTGATCAGCATGTCGAATACCCCCCTACGCAAAGTTTTAGCGAATTCTAAGATTTTGGCCTCATACAGTATGTCTACCGTAACCCCCTCGAAAAAGGCCCCACAATGCAAAATGATATCATTTTCATCAGGTCGAATAACCCCCCTAGGCGAGTTTTCAGCGAAATCCGTGACTTTCAATTTTTGGGTTGTATTGTGTGGAATAGCGCCCAAGCTTTGAAGGGATACAGTCAGGAGTCACGATCTGTCGCGACGTGGTGCCGCAATGCAACGTCAAGTAGAGTCAGCTCCTGGCAGCACTTCTGGCGCAATGTTACTTATGGCCTCGAGTCTATCTGCCACCCCCCCCCCTACCCTGGTGCCGTGCCACTTTAGCACCGGAGATTTTTCGGGATAAAAAATTTGAGCGCGGCGAGCGTCCGCAGCGCGCGGTGTGACTCCTGAATAGGGTCAAGCTTGTGACGCGACTGTTGCAACGGGAGGTCGTAAAGAGGGTACCTAAGGGGGGAGGGTCGTAAGAGGAGGTAGTCAGACTAAAATACCCTATGCTTAAAAGGGAATTAAAAAGCAGACAATTAGTTATGTTTTTACAATAAATCTATGAAAAAGTGGAAATCAGAATAAAAAAGATAAAAAATCTGTAAAAATTCTCAAAAAAAACATTACAAGAGCTCAAAACACTTTTGAAGGATGTATGACTTGATAAAAATGCTAAATATACCAATTGCCCAGAAATCTTGCTTCTGAAGCCTTCCTGAATTCTCAGCCATTCAACAAAAGCGAATATCTTTACCAGCTGTGACCATCATAAATTTCTAAATCTTTTTGTAATGTTTTTCAGCGCGCCCATATGATTTATCTGTAATTTAAAAATGCTCTGCTATATCATTGCAAAATTTGGTGTTATTTTGTCAACTGTGGATTTTCTTATGATTTTATGTATGGTAGCAAAAAATGAGAAAGGGGGCTCGTATCTGCGCCTCATCTAAATTTCTCCGGAGCTATTGAAGCTTATTAGCAGCAAACTTGCTGTAATACGAAGTCATCCCGCTACTTTTTATCATAAGAATTTCAGGCTGTTTCATAACTCCTCCGGTGAGATACAAAATTTCAAGCTCAAAAATTCCAGTTTTTGCTTTCTAGGATCGCATCTAAATTTGCGAGAGTCGCATCTAGATTTTTTCGAGCTTACTGCTCTTCAATGGCTGAAACTTTTTCCATGG